TGACAAATTAATAAACTTCCTCTCAACGTTACAATGTTTCTCCGTGGCTATGTACAATTGTGCCCTCTGGTGGATAAAACTTGGTACTGTTTTTTGATGCTATACTTAGTGCTTTAAAGTTATTTATTTAAAATAATTTTCAATGCTTGAATTCTGAAGAGTATATCAGAAATTAGCTGGTTTCCTCCCAAATGAGTCTTCTAACACCCTTTTCAAATTACTAGTCTTCTCATCTACAGAAGATTCAAGTCGCTGCTGAAGATTAGCTCAATACTGTTACACTCGCCACTTCTCTAAAAAGGGCCCATTCTTTAAAATAACAATATAAATAAGGATTCATCTATAAAGCGTGTCCACATCTCACTAAAATGGAAATTAAGCTTTTGATCACAGAACTTAGGTTTGTAAAGAACCAAATAATCACAAGTGCTGTCCCATTTCATTTCACAGTTTCATTTTGCCACAACATAGCATGACAAATTTTGATAATACACAACCAAATAAAGTGTGGTCCCAATTCTCAGGAATCTTATCACTGAGTGGCAGGTGGCAAGAGCTAAATTAATAATTGTAGACTATTTCATGTGGCAAACAGTGGAATTCTCTAGATTCTCCTTCAACAAAAGACTTGTTCCCGTAGCAGACAGCCACTTCTTGCAACATCAAATTCCTTCCCAGGGCCAGGCATCCGCTTACTGATCCACATCTGAGAACAGAGTTTCTGCAACCTCAGCACTACTTCCTACAGCTCAGAAGAACCATTCTGGATTCCGAGATCACCACAAGGTCCACCGAGGCTAATGTCTGCTCCCATCTGATCTCAACCCTTCTCACTACCCTGGTGGTTTTAAACTAGGAGCACTCTGGATATCGAACCCCTAGGGTGTCTCCAATGTGTGGGGTTGCTATTGGCACCTAAAGGATATAGGCCAAGGATGCTGTTAAACAGCCTACAGTGTGTTGGAAAGCCTCTATCACAAGAAACTACACCCAGCCCAATGTCCGTAAGCCACGCTTGAAGATCTTTGTGCTCCACCCAATCCTGGTCCCCAAATCATTCTTTATTAAATAGCTTGCACCCTAAACTCCATCCTAACAGACAGTTTTCTAGGGAACAGTTATATAAAATACCTCTAACAAGAAAATATTTGACTTTATCCATGTGTAAGGAGTCCAGATGTCAATATATTCAGCTGTAAATTCGCTGCTATAAAACAAAACTGAGGAGAAAACAACTTTTGAGGGGTTACTCTAAAATAATGCTGCTGAGAGTTACTCTTTTCATTTGGTTGGTTTGGGAGTTTTATCTTGTTTTATTATGATTATTATTATTTGTGGGGGGTTCTGAAGATTGAACTTGGATCATCAGGCTTGCATGACATGCTCTTTCACCCACTGAGCCATCTCACTGGCCCTGGTTTTGTTGTTGTTGTTGTTGCTGTTGTTGTCGCTGTTTGAGAGAGAGGCTCTCACTATGAAGCTGAGGTTTGCCTCAAACTCTCAGTCCTCAAGTCTCAGCTTTACTAGTGCTGAGATCACAGGCATGCATCATCACACTCAGTGCCAGTGATTTCTCTTTTCCTTTGGGCCTAAGTTGCCTGCATTTTCCATAATTTGTGCTTTTATTGTTCTATCTAGCTATCTCTATCTCTTCCTTCCTTCCTCCTTCCATCCCTCCTTCCCTGTCTCTAGAAAGCACATGTTGCTTTTGCAATCTGGAATGGATGTTCCAATTGCAAAGAAAGGGAGCACGGTCAATTAGTGTAAAACACTGCGGGAGACGTAGAATGGTAAGCAGCAGATCAGAAAGGTCCGCAGTGATGTCAGGGAGACAGATGAGGGACAGCATCAAGGATGAGAAAGAGTTATCTAAAGTTCCTCATCGAAGAGGACCCTTTAAAGTTTTTCTGTAATCCACTGAAGGGTTACTTATCATTTGAAGTTTAAGCCTGGGACAAATGAAAGAAAATACCAGAATATAAGGAATGAGCAATCGCGTTATAAATTCCCACCAGGTGGCGCTAAAACACAAGTAATAATCCAACCTCCTCCAGTTTCCCCCTTCAATTCAGTAGGGTAGTGGTATTGACCATCCTTTTTATATGAGAATCACCTTTTAAGTGCTCACTGTTAAGCATCACCACTATTTTTATGCAAGTAGATCAAAATAAATAACCACTAAAACTCAGCCAAGAAGATGAAGATAGCCACTTAAATCAGAGATGTAGGAGCGAGAGAATCTTCTTGCTTCTTGACTTTTTCTTTAGCTGGACCCCTGGCCACCTGAAAGACAGAAAATTCCAAAACTGCTTTGTCCCTACGATGACTGAGTCATGATGTTCAAACCGTTAGTAGGATGTGAGCATAAGTGTGGGGAACTTCTAAGACAATAGTTCTCAACTGGGGATGACTTTCACCCCAGGGGACATTTGACAGTATGTAAGAACATTTTTAGTGTTCACAATGGAGGAGGGAGTGGATAACTTGCTAAATATCTTATACAGAACAGCCCTCAAAACACGGAATAATTCCAACTCAAATGTGGCTGCTGCTGAGTTGGAAAAACTCCATCTTGGAGGAAAGGGGTGTCCAGTGGTGTTTCCCTCTACCTCTCCCACTGACTAGAAGAAAGGGGTATGGATCGGACAAGTTGAACTAAGCTCTCTCTAAAACAAGAAAACAGGTGTTCAGAGCTTCAAGATAGGTAGAGGGTGAGTTTCTCATTCATGGAGTTGACACGCTACTCTGGATTCGTCACACCCACACTCACTGCTGTGAGAAACTTTGGGATCTCTGTGACAACAGCCAAAGCAAAAGTAATATTCGAGTAAATAATACAGTCTACTACACACACAGTGCATGTATATGTGTGTATACATCCATGGTATTTGAGGACTACACTATTTGAAGCAATTCTACTTTCTAAGCCTGCCTTGTTCTGTCTTTCCCAAGAGCACCTCACCTCTTTCTGTTATCTTACCCACTCTTTTCTTTTCTTCTTTTCTTCCATGAGCATTTAAGTGACCTGTTTCAAGAGACACCTGGAATTTCGCCTAAACTAATCCCCTTCTGTATATATTTTTTCTGCTCCTTACTGTACTATGGTTTTTTTATCATTATTTTCCTTTTAATTTTATGTGTATGAGTGCATTGCCTGTGTGTATGTAAGTGCATCCATGTAGTACAATGCCTTGGAGGTCAGAAGAGGGCATCAGATTCCCTGGAACCGGAGTTAACGATGGTTGTTAGCTGACATTTGGGTGCTGGGAATTGAACCCAGGTCCTCTGCAAAAGCATTCAGTGCTCTTAACCACTGAACCAACTAACTCTCCAGCCTCTTGTATTATAATGTCGTCATATAACTTACCACAATATGCTGTACATGGTAGTGCACGCCTGTAATCCCACCACCTGGGAGACAGAAGCAAGAGAATCGGCAATTCAAAGTCATCCTCAGCTACATAGTGAGTTCTAAGTCATCTTGGGCTACATGAGACTGTCTCAAAAAAAAATAATACATAATTACTCTATTTCATTTATTGTCTTTGCTCTCTACCCAAAGATTGTCCATTTATGGGGTCAAAAACTATCTTACTCACCAGTGTATATTCACTTAAATAAACTACTACTCTCCATTAGAATGATAATGTATGACAAATATATAATTTCATGTTCTAGTGGATAAATTAACAAAGTAAAAATATAAAGATGAAACAATTTTACTCTTATTTAACAAACTGTCCTTCCTAGGATAAGGTTTTGTTGTTGTTGTTGTTGTTGTTGTTGTTGTTGTTGTTGTTGTTTTTCTGACACAGGGCTTCATGTATCCCAGGCTAGTCTCAAAGTCACTATGTAACCAAAGACAATCTTAAACTCCTGACTGTTCCTCCTGACTCCATATCCAGAATGCTAGGATTATAGGTGTGCCACCATGCCCAGTTTTGCATTGTGCTGGGGATCAGACCCAAGGCCTCATTCACGCTAAGCATGCACTCTGTCCATTTAGTTACATTACTGGTCAGGTAGAGAATTGTTTAAAAACTGAGATATTTATGCTGGACATGATGGTGCATGACTTTAATCCCAGCACTGGGGGGGGGGAGAACGGGGAGGGGGGGCAAGTGGATCTCTGTGAGTTCAAGATCAGTCTGGTCTAATAACAAATTCTGGACCAGCCGGAATTACATAGAGATATCTTCTCTCAAAAAAATGAGATATTTTATATTCTATTCCCATATTAACTCTTTAAAAATCCACTGCTTAATTTACCTTACCAACATATCTCAAACTATCACATTTCAGTATCAAAAATCCACATTGCCTAGTGGCCACAAGATAATGCAGATACTTGGCACATAGTAGGCATTCAATATATATTTGTGAAGTATTCTTTCATACTATTTTGATTCGTCCTAATTGTCTTAAGCAAGAGGGAACTCTTGTCCGGCATTTAGACCGTTTCCAGTTTTCACTTTTTGGAAAATTACTGGAATAAATTCCTACAAGACAAGCCCCCTTTTAGGTCTCCCACATTTTGCCAAATAAACCCAGTAATAGTATGCCACTTCGGGTTTTCCTCCTATCTGAACAGGCTCACACCAAGGGACATTTGGGAACACAAAGGTTGCTAAATAGGCCTTAACATATATGACAGAATACATGAAATCCGGTGCTTGAGCTATGGGCTGCTCAGATATGAGGGGGGGTTGTCTAAATACGATCAAGATGAATTGTATGAAATTCTCAAAAATTCGATTAAAAAAAGTAGGAAAACAGCAAAAGAGAACCAAAAAAAACAAGAGCTAAGAGTCCCCCTTTGGCTCTTACCCCGCCTCCAAACAGGCTGGGAACTCAGCTTGCCTGTCAGGACCGCCCTTCACCTGCCTGGCCAAGCCACGCCTCAGGAGCCAATTTCCTTCCCGCGCCACCCTCCAGACTGACGTAAGTACTGGGATAAAAGTGACGTCTGCACCGTGGGCGGGACTTCCGGCGCTCCGCGACCAGTGCCGGAAGCACGCTTAGTTGTCTTGGCAACACCCCCTCCCTTTGTGTACCCCGCAGAAAACTAGGCCGGAGCTTGTCCATCGCCTGTGATCTGCTGCTGCGTGGCCACAAGGTGACTCCGGGGAGTGCTGGGTTGTTTTGGGGAGTAAGGGACTGGCCTGCCACGCGGGGCCTGGCGTCCTCACAAGCTTGGCTTGCCGGTATCTTGCCGGTCACGTTGTGGCACTGAATACCATCATCCCATGGCAAAAAGTGGGACTTGGAAGCCTGTAACAGTCCCTAAGCCTTATGGATTGTTAGAGGAGACTAGTTCTAAAAGCTCTCCACCCGGTCGTGCTTCCGAACCCCTGGATGACTGTATTTCTGGAAATGAGGCTCACGGATGGGGAACTTTTTTTTTAAAGCTCACCCTGTAATTCAAACGTTCAGCGAGTCACCGTGTTACGCTGTTTGTAGGTGAACTGGCATTTTGTCCCTCCAACCCAATGTCTGACTAGAAGATGGCCCAGGACACATCCTTGGAGAGATGTCTAGGATATTGGCCCCCAAAAAACCTGAGTTTCCTTTCATCTGCCTTGCACTTTGGGTGCTATAGATCAGAGGTTTTAGTGGAACTTACCTTGAGAGCATTTGGCAATTGCTATTGATAGATGGACAAAACCTTAAGTTCTGAAGCATTTGAATTTTTTTTTTAAAGAAATGATTGCTATAAATTTGTTTCACAGGCTAGGCCCTGGACTGAGTTGTTTTCACCCTAAGTCAGAGCATCACTTCAAAACTCTAGACTAGAAATTAATAACACAAGCCTTCTAGCTTTCTTTACTCTCACCCCTCCTCTGAAACATGGTTAGAGTGTAGATTAGAGTTAAACTAGCTGCAGAACCGTCAGAATTACTGATTTCCATTAGGAAATCCACCCATTCACAGAACAGTTGGACAAGTGAATGCAGACTGTAACGAGCTGATTAAAGGCCAGATGAATTGAAGATATATTAATGTATTTAAATATTTGCTTGTTGAAAATACTTGGAGCTTTTTACTGTTATTTGAGATGATAATCTGGGGGAGCAGCGATAGAAGAGAACATCACCAGGGATATAACAGACAGTGCCCACAATTTCAGTAGCTTCCAGAAGCAAAAGGTAATAGCTATTATTTCCATGGTGGAAGAAAGGGACTCAAAAGGAATGACTTGTAGGCTCTACCCCTCAGATTAGTGCCCAAATATGCAAAGCACATTCAGTACAGTATTAATTCAGGAAAAGAGAAATTAGCATGGAATAATTATTAATATATTTATAGAAGAAAATTTGAAATAAGTCTCTGGAAATACAAAAGTGTCCTTAACTGCTTAGTCGAGGTTGTTGCTGTTCTGCCTGTAATTTTTAATACCTGTTTATTTGGCCCTTGATCATTTTGGGGATGTGTTGTAGGAAAGATGTGTGCCTGAAACTGAAATGAATTTGGTCTGTTTCTTTTGAGCTGTCTGTTCTGGGTTATCCAAGTTTTCACTTCTCCGGCTGCCTGTCCTGTTGCCTGTTATGTTCCTGAGTCTGAGTAAATTTGCTTTTTCTTGGCCTCGTAGTTCCCTTCTGACTGACACTAACCATAAAGTTTCAGTGAATTTGCAAATAAATCCATTCATAAATTCATCACCCTTGCTATTAAATTAAACAATGCCTTTCTGTGGGTGCAATGTGATTTGTGTGGAGAAAAAAAAAGGCAATTGTTAACTACATCTTTTCAGCCTTCCCCAGCTATGTTTTTTTTTTTTTTGGTTTTGTTGTTGTTGTTGTTTGTTTTTCTTTTTGTTTGTTTGTGGTTGTTGTTGTTTTGTGAAAAGACATGAACATCCACGCAAGTATAAACTGGAGCATGGAGTTGAGAGAATGAAAAGGAAATAACTAAAACTGTTTCATCTCCCTTGGTAGCCATTATGGACGGGAACACAGTAGCATGTGTAAGCAGGCCTGTGGCCCACCAAAGATAGAGCTTGGTGAGATGGCTCAGCACATAAAGACACTTGCCACCCACTCTGGCAACCTGAGTTTGATCCTCAAGTTGTCCTCTGATCTCCCATTATACACACCACACACACACACACACACACACAATACTTTTTAAAAAGATAGAACTTGAACTTCTCCTGTGGGTAGAAGAAGGCCGTTAGGACTTATGCCATCTTTAACATCTAAATGAATAGTAGGGACCATACAAACCCCTAGGAGGAGTCCCATGAGTGTGTCCAGCCCAATGAGTTCACCAGCCACCACAACCAGCTAGGGGTGACATCAAGGCTGCCAGAGTAGGTGGTCAGGAAACAGAAGTGCCAGAAATCCCTGTTTTATCCATTTTCATTGTGAATGTGCCTTCGGTATTTGTACAATTGAAAGGCATTTCTGGTAGGGTTAGAATTGCTTGTTTAGGGAGATTTCTTAAATCCCAGGTGACCTAATTCTGTTACTCAGATTTATTGTGGTGCCTTCATTTATTTTGCTGCAGTCCCTAGCAGACCCCCTTTCTACTTTGCAGCAATGTATACTGAGGGTCTATTATACCCCCAAAATCTCTGGCTGGCTCAGAGCCAAGTCAGTGGGAACTTCTATGGAAAAGGTGCGACTTTCCAGGTTTTAGCTGCAATGACTGATTTAATGATTGATTGTTAATGTCTTTTTATGCAAAAGTAAAAACAAATGAGCTTTCATGTATTTGATTTTCAGAACTGTAGTAGAAAAGGAAGATAAGGTTGAAAGGAAAATCAAGTTATAGAGTATACATTATTGTTCAGAAGGGAATTTGTGGTTTTAATTTACATTCTGGTTGTCACAACACGTCTTACATGCTATATTTATAAGAATATAAATATGCAAGAAAAATATAAATATGCAAGAAAAAGAATACATTTGATGCCACTGCCTTTCAGCAAAGCCATATTATATGTGGAGTTTTTTTTAATTTAGTGGAAGTAGTCACATTTTATCCATTGAAAAATGACAAAACTTTTAACTGTTGTTCGTCATGTATATTTATGCATTTAAAAATATATCTTTGAGAGCAAGCAGAATAACTGTTGAATAAATGCTTTTTTCTTTTTTTTTCCTTAGAGAGGCTGTATGGGAAAATACATCATTCAGGACTGGGAGGCTCTGTCTTGTCTGTAGGCCTCAGCAGTGTTAGTGAATGACCTCAATGCTGGACTTTTTTTCCCTCCCTTCTTTGGTGGTTGAGGACAGACAATGAATGGTCTCTGTATTCCTGGAGCTCAGCTGGGTGGTGACCATGATGCCATTGTGTTCGCTGTGGAGGGCTGCCCAGTTTGTAGAGCTGTGGATCCGGCCTTCCCTGACATTGCCAATCTCTTTTCTTTCAGTTCCACCAGCCCGTTAGAAGAAAACTTGTTCAGTCCCAGAAGGCTTGTGCCAGAAAAAAAGTAGGAGACTGCTGGGTAGGTGGGGAATGAAAGATAAAATGAAAGACCATGGAAAGACGTTCAGACCCGCTGCACCTGTAAGCTTCCGTGAGACAGGAGTGTTGCTGTAATACCTGGGAATTGTGCAGTGTTGGGTTTGCCATTGAAGCCAGGCATCTGCCTAAATCCTTAGCCAGCTTACAAATGTTATCAGGACCCATTTTCAGAGGCGGGTCTCTTCCCTTAGGAGTTCATAGAAGCAGATGAACAGATCCCTTCACGGGGAAGAAAATGTGTGTGTTCCTTCCAGTTACACCTACCCACAGCTCCATTCTGCTTGTATCCTTGTGTTCCTGTCTAGCAATGGCAAGACAGCAGGCTCTCTATCTGAAATCATGGCACTGCCTGTGCTCCTAAGCCCTGTTGCTTGGTATTGTTCTGCAGGTCTTTGTTCTTGTTTCTGCTGCTGTTGCTCTTAATTAAGTCTCTAGATGTCTATGAAGAACTTTAAGAAATGTCCCAATTTCCTTATTTAGGAAACTTTTTTCTTTCTTCTTTTACCCCAAATATGAGAAATCACTCACCAAGACTAGAGTTGATCCTAATTTCTTTCTTTCTTTCATCATAGATAGGGCTTAATAATTCATGAAATATATGAGAATTGCATGGTTCCTCCACTTACTTCCAAGTGGAAAGTAAGCACAATTAGGATGCCCAACATATTAAGGACAGAATATTCAAGGTAATATCATGTTTACGTAAAACAGAGTGCTCAACAGGGAACTAGGACTTGTTTTATGTGTTTTAAAGGGTTGTGTGGTAGGAGAGTGCTTTTATAAAGGATATGAAGGTTATGTGGAAAGCATTGTATGTGGCCCACAACCCTTAGGTATTTCCTATCTGGACCTTCACAGGAAAAGAAAACGACACTATGCAGAAGAGAGCTGCAAATGGCGAGCTTCTCATCAAGCCCTGTGCACACTGCTGTTCCTTTACACACATTCCCTATGGTTTATGTTATCTGTGTCTGAGAGATTAATTTGTAAACTCAAATCAGTTCTTCAAATGATGAATTTGAATATTTATAGGATTTTCAGGATCTTGAAATGTGAAAGAATATGACAAATGAGTTTAGGAATTTGGGGAGAAAAATAATGAAGCCAAGAGTGAAAAGAGCTTTTCTGACGTCAGCCCAGTGACACTGCACTTGTTGAAGGATGGCAGCGAACTTGATTATAATTACCCCAGTGGCCAAAACTAATTTAATTCTTCTTCTACTTGGTACTCAAAACTCATCTTTACTTCATGGACTAGGTCTTAAAGGAAACTAGCACCTGGGAAGGGAGTATAGCTTGGTGTAAAGCGAGCATGCACAAGGTCCTGGGGCCATCCTCAGCATGAGTCAGGGGGACTTTGATTAGTTACAGTATCTTATAGATGATGAGAAACAGGAGGTCCATGTGAATTGCTTTTGGTTCCAAAGCTGTAACGGGCTTTCTTTAGTCAGCAATGATTTTCCTGCCTCCTGGCTTGCAAAAACTGTTTAGAGTGAGCACCAGGTGACTTTCTGCAGCACAGTACCACTGCACTGCTGCCACATTGTGTGTTGAACCAAAAATTAAGACCAACCTTCCCCTTTCTAATCACAGCCATTGCTATTTGAGCGTCCACGAGAATATCACGAACTATCCTTTAACTTCCTCAACAGTAATCCACTTTATCACAGGGTCTGAACTTCTAGCTGTAGCAGAAGGGCTTCTACTATCTCACGGATTTATTATAAGGCATAGAAAGCAGTCTAGATTCCATGCAGTTTGGTTCAGTTCAATTTGATTCGATATGGTTCGGTTTGGTTTGCTTTGCTTGTTTTTTGAGATGGGGTCTCAATATATAGCTCAAGCTGATCTGGAACTTGCTAATGTAGCCCATGGTGGTCTCAAAATCTCTGTCCTCCTGCCCCAGACTCCCAAGTGCTGGGATCACAGGCATGCACCACCGTACACAGCTAGGGTGCAAAGCTCTTAATTTCCAGAAGACTCACAATGTCTCTTAGATTTTTCTTAATTCCTATGCTACTTGTTAATCTAGAAAACAAATTCAATTAAGACATGCCTGGAGTTCACTTTAATGTCATTAGATGCTGCAGATTCTGAAGGCTGTTTAGAGTTCAGTGATAGAAATAGGAAATGGCTCTCGTGAATTAGCCATCTACGGGCTTCAGCTTACAGTTTAGCACTTAAGTGTGTGCTGATTTCTACCATAATTGCATTAGTTTTCTTTCTTTGGGTGGTAACATACCCAATTACTGGCTGTTTTGTATTTCTTTAGTAGCCCATCAAGCACATTCACATTTAGCTAGGTTTTCCGGGAATGGAACCTGTTTTAAACCTTTAAATTCCAGTTGAAAAGTAAGGTTAGTTCAACTTACACATTCACTACATTTGAAGTTGCTGGTGATTCACACTCACTGCGTGTGTGCCTAGTCCTGAATTCAGGGTGACAAGCAGGAGGTATGGGCTATGTTTAAGATAAGTTTGCAGAAGGCCACGTCAGCCTGTTTGAAAGCTTCTTGTGTTTAAAGGGCATATGCTTGGTTCTCTTGAGGCTGAATCCGAAAAGACGGTGGTCAGTGTACTGCCTCAGTCTTTATCATACACGTGGAAAGCATTTCATGGAGGTTAAAAATAAGTCTGGTTTGTTTCTTAAGGCTCGGGAATTTCTTTAATTTTACCCTCTAGTTAAGTAAGATAAATAAGACCCTTCCAGTATCTAGTTTCTAGATTTTCAAAGTCTAAGTATCCCATTGTTTGTGCTTTTGTCTCATAGAATCTTAAACTGTGTGTGCATTTTAGGATATCATTTTTGTTTAACAATTTGTTTGTTTTTTTTATTTGTGACAAGATATCACTCTGTAGCCCAGGCCGATCTTGACCTCACTGCCAACTTCCTGCCTCAGCCTCCCAAGTTCGGGAATTGCAGGCATAAGCCACCGTCTTATTTTTTTTATTATTTCTGTGTGTGTGTGTGTGTGTGTGTGTGTGTGTGCGTGCGCGCGCTCACGAGCACACACTCATGTGCATGTACACTAAGGTCAGAGGACAACTTTTAAGAGTTGGTTCTTTCCTTCCACAGTGGGTTCCAGAGATCATTGGGTATTTACCTACTAACCATACAATTTATTTAATCTCACCAACCATACAATTTTTTTAATTTTTAAATTTATTTTTATTTTATGTGTATGGGTGTCTTGTCTGCATGTATGTAAGTGCACTATGTGTGTGACATGACTGTGGATACCACAAGAGGGCTTGGAATCCCTGGTACTGGGGTTACCAACAGTTGTAAACTGCTATGTGGGTGCTGGGAAACAAACCCAGGTCCTCTGTAAGAGCAGCCAGTGCTCTTAATCACTTGCGCTATCTTTCTAGCCCATCCCCCTTAAATTTATTCTAAGTGGACTATGTGTGCAGGTTGGTAGGTAGGTTGCTAGGTAGCTGGAAAAGGAGTAAGACTGGCAGAGCAATGCCATTTGACAGAAGCAGTTAGAATATGCCATGGCTCAAAATCCTCCTCCTACAAAGAAGAAGGGTGATTAGGGAATATCCTATGAAACCAAAACAAAAGCTGAGGCTATAGAGATATCTTGTTTGAAGAGGCTTCTCCAAGTCCCAAACATAAGGCAAAGCCCAACAGAAACTTCCAGTCACCTGGAAAGATGCATTCTTCTCAAGCCTGGAGAGAAACCAAGGTTAGGCTGGCAAGATGTCTCAATGGCTAAAGGTACTTACCACCAAGTGCCGTGCCCTAAGCTTAATCACCAGAAAACACAGGGTGGAAGGAGACAACTCACACATAATAAATAAATATTAAAAACAAAAAAGACAGGCAGAAACCAAGATTATTTTAAATATACACTAACCTATGTTTAGAACTAGTAAATATACATGCTCTGTATTTTATTTTGTATGTGCACACTACTAAATAATTGCGTGATTATTTTTGTAGACTGTTTTTTCAGTAAATAAATAAGTAGAATACTAAACTATGCTGGACGCTTTGAGTCATACATAAGGGGGCTGTTCCTCTCCAGACCACAAGGTCACAACCTAGGTGTCAGGGTCTTGATATGTAAAGATCGGCAGGATGCTGGCAAGAAACAGCCTGTTAGGAGCCCTTTTACAAACCGTGAAATAGCCCCAAATATCCCATAGCAGTACTGATCAAATGTTCACACTATGCTTGCTTTCTTACTTTCAGAGCCCACTTTTCCAGAGATAGCAGCAATGGTAAGATTACCTATTTTTCTTATGAATTTAAAAAAGAATTACCTTTTCAATTCTTGATGTTTGGAATGGGGATGTAGCTCAGTGATAGAGCACTTGCCTAACATGCACAACACCATAGGTTCAATCACCAGCATTACTCCTGCCACCAAAAAAATTCACAGTGGACTCATTTCATAATGCAGACCAAAGTACAGATTGAGTATCCAAAATTCAAAATGCTCCAAAATCCAAAAAGTTTTTTTTTTTTTTAATTTTTTTTTGGATTTTTGAGGCAGGGTTTCCCTGTAGCTCCAGCTGGCCTGGAACTCACTATGTAGACCAGCCTGGCCTCAGTCTCACAGAGATCCACCTGTCTTGAACCCTGGATTAAAGACATAAGCCACACCTAGCTTTCTAAAAGTTTTTCAAGATGCCAACATGACACACTTAAAAGGTTTCAGATTTTGAAGCAGTAAAGCTTTTGGATTTTCAGAATGTGAATTTTCAGGGATGCTTAACCAGTAAAATGTATGCATATACACCAAAATCGAAAGACCACTGAAATTTGAAACAGTTCTGGTCCTAGCATTTCAGATAAGGGATACCCAGCCTGTACATCAGAAAACTAAAAGTAAAGGTGCCATCTAGCACATTATTAGACATCTGTCTCAGACATTAAGAAGTGGGCTGAGCCAGCAGATCCGTAGAGAACAAGAAGGAGAACCAAATGCCATGGGTCATTAGAATTGGCAAGTCATTTCTGACTTGGAGCTAGTACTGATAGCAAAGATGACAGATAATCAGGTCTGATATCAGATAGGAGATCTCTCATTTTATCAATCTCAATCATTAAACTAGAAAGGGGACTAGTTGAGAAGAAAAAAGATATCAGGGGTCATGAGAGGGAGATAAAAGAAGGTAATGGGGGGGTGAATATGATCAAAATCTGTTGCATACTTGTATGAGGATGTTATAATGAAACCCATTGTGTATGATTAATGTATGCTAATAAAAAAGTATTCAAAATTAACAGAAATAGATATTGGGAATAAAAGGAAGGAACTTTTCTTTTAAAGTTCAATTTCTTTTAAAGTTCAACAATCTTGTAGCAATTCTAATATAAAATATTTTTAAATTAAAAAAAAACAATATTCATTAGCATGTGTCCTAAATAACTGGTTTCTTTTTCCTCTTGTGATGAAATACTCATGCAAAAGAAATTTAAGGGAGAAAGGGTTATTTTGACTCAAAGCTCAAGAGTTCAGTCAGTCCATCATGGCAGGGAAACCAAGGCAGCAGGAGCTTGAAGCATGTGTCATATTGCATACACAATCAGGAACAGAGGGTGATGGAGGCATGCTGCTGCTCAGTTTCCCTTTCTCCATTTAGACAGTCCAGGATCCTAGCCAGGGGAGTGATGCAACCCACAGTGGATGGGTCTTTCCATTTCAATTAACAGAATCTAGGTAATCTCCCACTTGCATGCCCAGAGGCCCATTTCCCCGGTAATTCTAAATCCTGTTAAATTGTCAATACAAATCACCACATTATATAAGGCTCCATAACTTTAAACTATTATCCTGTCAATATCCTCAAAGGTACATATCCTCAAAGAGCAAGTATATGTAAATTTAGTTTCTGTCCAGGGTGCATACCTGTTTTACAGTTTTTTTAAAGCTCAGCAGCATCCTCATGGAAAGTAGGCGTTTAGTAGATACTCAGCAAATGGCTCTCAGTTGATTATACGTTTAAAGATTCTCTAGAGGATGAACCATTTGATGCCTGTCCTATGTGTCCCTTCATTTCCTAGGCGTCAAGCTGGAGTGCTCCCACATCATGGTATTCTCACCCAATATATGCAAGATACTGGCAGCATTATCATCTTGCAATGGCTTGGATGCAAAGCCACCAGAATGCCTACAGAAATGCCAGGGAACACTGTTTGATTTCCCCATGGTACGTCCCTCAGTCAGTTCTTCCCTGGAGCACTATTTATTATGAGGCTGGGGATCTTCAGTCTCAGGCCTTCCAAGGCCAACACACAGCCTGGCAGAACTCTCACTACAGTTCTTCACATTTTGAAAGCTCTGGGCAGCCTCTGCATGACAGCAGCAGGGCCCAGCCATATGCAAGAGAAGACCAAGCTCTGTATGAAGAGGAAGAAGTGGAGTCAGAGTCAGATGATGGGATAGAATGTGACCTGAGCAACATGGAAATCACCGATGAGCTCCGCCAGTTCTTTGCAGAGACTGAAAGGCACAGAGAAGAGCGACGTAAGTTCAGCCTCTCCTTGTGCTTTCTCATTGCCCTGACTTGCATGTTTTTCTTCTCTAACATATCAAGTTATTTTATAACTTTTCATTTGGGTACAGTTAATAATCTAAATCTAGTCATAAACCCAGAAAAACTATGGTGATATTTTACCTCAATAATATTATTCCCCAAAGTTATTTTAATTTTTACTTTGGTTTTTGTTTTGTTTTGATTTTGAAACCGTATCTCCCTATAACCCCAGCTAACGTGGAACTCACTATGTGGACCAAGCTGGCCTCCACCTCACAGAGAACTGTCTGCCTCTACCTCCTGAGTGCTGAAATTAAAGGCATGCACCACCATGCCATACCTGGCTCCCATCAGATGGAGTGTGTTTGTGTGTGTGTGTGTGTTCTCATCTACACAGCAGTCCCTCAAGGTTCTAAACTCATTTTACAAATGAGGAAAGTGAACTTTAAGGAGGTTAATTACACAACCGCTCCTTCTTTGTCAGGATTCACATCATGTCTGCCTGACTCAGCCCTTCCCGTGCATCTTCGTTGATGTCACACTTCTTGAGACTACTGGGTTTCTGAACTGCTGTATTTTCACCACTTCCCTGGGACACAGCTCAGAGGCTGTCCTAATTGTTGTACCCCTTCCAAATCCTGCATGACTCCCTTCAGTGTAAAGATAATTGAACCTAAACACAATAACAAAATGCCTCACACCTGTAGCTTTCTTTGGTCCCACCTTACAGGTTAGCAAATTGCAATAAAGGTCTTATGTCTTTATACCTTCTATCAGAAAGCAGGATTTTGTTTTTGAAATTTCTAACCTTGCTGTAAAGAATTACCAGTACTCACCAGACCATTTAGTAGTAGTAGCAGTAGCAGTAGTAGTAGTAGTAGTAGTAGTAGTAGTAGTAGTAGCAGCAGCAGTAGTACCCGTGATGAATTGACAAATACTTCTCTCTCTACTGTAACCAGTATTTGATCTCAGTACATTTTTAGTAAGGTTTAATGGTATATTATATATAGAATTTTCCCTTGGTTTTGGGTGGGGATTGTTTTGTTTTTGAGACAAGGTCTTCCTGTATAACCCAAGCTAGCCTGGAGCTCATGATCCTCCTGTGTGTTGGGGTTATAGGTGTACCACACAAATCCTTGCCTAGAATTTTCTAATAAACAGAAACAGAAGCTTCAAAATAGGAATGTTTCATTTCTGTTTTTAAATATCTGTGTGTTTCTAGCAAGAGATTAGCATTTATTGATCCCCAGTGGATGCCAGGAACTGAGCAGTAGGATTTGGATAAGGTACTATGTATTTTAGTGTCTGCCCTGTGATTCTTCACTAAGTCATTTGCTGAGTTACTTTTAATAATTTTCTCCAGATTAAACTGTTGACTTTTTTGATGCATATTAGAAAAAATACCCAAGCAAGTGTTATAAAAGCAATACTTTGTGTTATGCAATGAGTATACTTCTTATTTTTCATTACATTTATTTATTTATTTATTCATTTATATTTATTGTGGGTGGGGCATGTGCACATGTGTGGAAGTCAGGAAATACCTTTGTGGAATTGGTTCTTTGCTTTTGTGGGTTCCAGGGATCAAACGCGGGTCATCAGACTTGGTGACAAGAGCCTTTACCCACTGAATCATCTCACTGGTCTCATATAGTACATTTCTTTCCTTGATCTTCACTAATATATTTTAGCTTTTCTCAATATTCAGTACTTAGTCTAATTTAGACATATGCAACAAATAAGGAGAACAGACACTGGAACGTTCACATGTGCTTGAAATGCTATGTGTTACAGCATTCACAAAAGAAAATGTGGTAGAGGTAGGACTTTTTCCTGTGATTCTAACCAGAAGGTAGAATAACATGCTTTTCTCCCAGACATTGATACTTTTTTAGTAGAAGATGTAATTGAGGATGGACACAAATGTCCACCTTTTTTTCTTTTAATTTGTTTTTGCTTTGGAACAGGGTTTATTCTGTTTATTTATCATGCATGTCTGTACACACAACCTAGGATCGGGGTCAGAAGACAGCTTAAAGAAGTCAGTTCTCTCTTTCCACCATGTAAGTTCCAGAAATCAACCTTGGGTCATCAAGTTTGGCAGCAAGCACCTTTACCCACTGAGCCATCTCATTGGTCCAGATTTCAGACTTCTGACCCCCCCGACCCCCCCTAGATCTTTGAGACAGTGAATGTCTTTTACCATAAGCCACTCCCTTCATGGTACTTTGGAAGCCCTAAGAAAGTAATACAATGGTCCTGAAGAATGTCTTTTGTTTCCATTGTACTCTGTGACTACAATATAAATTAGCCACACAGCTTTTGCTATTTCTGGGAAGAGATGAAAATGTGCTATTTGTTTTACTGTGTTGTAGACAGCAAACCATAAAAGAATGGAAAGGAAGGAAGTGGCAAGAGCGAGGGAGGGAGGAAGGGAAAGAAAGGATTTTAGTTGGATATTGTGATGTACTCCTATAATCCTAGCACTCAGAAAGTAGAATGAGGATTGTGAGTTGGAGGCCAGCCTGGGCTACATAGTGAGATGCTGTCTCACAAAGAAAAACAAAAGGAAAGAGAAGGAGGGCTGGAGGGATTTTTTAAAAGACCTTTACTGTCTCCATCGTCTGTAATCTTACTCCCCAATACATATGTTATTGTTTGAAACAGTATGGAAACAGCTGGAGCAAACCTGTTCAAATCGCAGCCTTATTTCTCTTCTTAGCTGGACATTCTCATCCTCTTGCGGGCTTTCTGCCTTGGCTATGCAGTGGGAATCCTAATTAATAACGTGATAATCATGTAAACAAAATGTGGTAATAGCAAGAGGTTTTTGGGTGGCGCTTGGTACAAAGGCAGGCCCAATCAGTGTTACAGTTACTAGCTAGTAATCCATCATGCAGTGAATAGACTATTAACCACACATTAGTTTTATGCTCTGATCACTTTGGCCTGATTTGTGCTTGGGTGAGATTCTGTGTACTTTAAAATAGAGATATTTGGTAGCTTTTAACAAGTCATATATTTTTCCTCTAGGCCACTCCTTTCAAACTTTTAAACTGATTTAGAATACTGAAAACATGGATGAATTAAAATTTTGGTATCTGTGTAATTTAGAAATTAATACAATTTTTAGTTTTGTTTCGAGGACATTCTTGCTTGATAAAATTTAATTGCCTTGTTTGGGTTTTTTGTTTGTTTTTGTTGTTGTTGTTATTTTGTCTTTTTTTTTTTCCAGAACTGAGGACTGAACCCAGGGCCTTGCGCTTGCTAGGCAAGCACTCTACCACTGAGCTAAATCCCCATCCCACTTGATAAAATTTAAAAGAAATGGGGTCTTACTTTCAAGTTCTAGGAGGCAATCAAGGGTTGTGGTAAGCCTATGTAAATCTTGGGACTCTCTTGGACTACCCTGGTGTATTAATCACTTTTCTGTTCCTGTGCTAGGAACACTGACCAAAACAGTTTGTAAAAGGAAGAGTTTATTTAGCTTATGGTTCCAAAAGAGAATGGGTCCATTATGTCAGGGAGGCATGGTGGCAGAGGGGGCTGGAGTGAGAGCAGAAGCTAAGCTCTCACATGTTCCAGCAGGCACAGGAAGCAGAGAGCAACTGGAGATCTGGCAAGGCTTAAGAACTCTCTAAGCCTGCTCCCAGTGACATGCTTTCTCCAGCATGGCCACACCTTCTAAGACCTCCCAAAACAGCGCCATCATCTGGGGACAAAATGTCCAAATACTTGGAGCCTGTGAGGAACATTCTCATTCAGACCACCACAGCTGGTGAACAGCTCGAAGGGAGAAGGGAGGTTTCTCCTGTCTGGCACTGTTTCTTGTTAAATAGCCTTCAGCTATACACATGGACTCATGCAGAGATACTGTATGTGTAATTTTTCAGTAGCTTTTTGAACTAATACATTTCCCTCTGGTTTTTCACACAAGCTAAGCATTATTTATCTACCCCCCCCCCCCGCTCCCATCTAACCCTTCCTGCTCCCTCCCTAGTTAAAATACCATTTTGCCCATTTCACCCTTGATAATACCTATCTCCTATGATCTCCCCTCCCTTAGCTCCTTCTTCCTACTTGCCCCGCATAGTTCCTTGTATAACCCTCTCCCCCTCCCATTTAAATACCCCCATTTTACCCATTTCCTCCTTGGTAACACCTGTCTCCTACTGTTCTTCTCTCAAGCTCCTTCTTTCCTTTTACCTCCCTGGTTCCTTTCCATTTCCCTGGCTCCTGCAATTACATCAGGATATATACTCACATATGAGGATTTGATGCGAGGATCCACAAATGAGGGAGAACATACATTGTTTTTCTGAGTCTATGTTATTTCTAAGAAAATGAACTCCCTTCCATATCACTGATGGTGCTAAACACAACCATCAGGTTCCTTTTGCTTTTAAAATGTGTAGTGCTGGGGGTATACCTCAGCAGTAGAACACTTACGTAGCACACACAAGGCCCGGATTCAATCCCTAGCACCACACAGATAAAATAAAATGTGTAGTTAAAGCAGAATTTACAACTACTTGTCCCAGAGTCTCTTCAGGGCTTTTGTTTCCTACAGCCTTCCAGGACCATTATCAGGTCCCCAGGAGATGTGAGAATTGTCTGATGAGGGTGAGAACAGGTTATAGTGTCAACCTCTAGACTTAGTCTTTATTAATTTATTAAAAAGAAACTGCTACAACTGATCTTGTACCAATAAGAAAATAATGAGCAGCATCTCCCTAGTATTTTTTTCTCTAGTACTTTTTTGGGTACAGGGTGGATATATGTTCCTTCAAGCAGGAATGAAGGGTGGAATTCATATATAAGTAATTTGACTGTTTTATTAAGGCCTGGAATTTAGCTCACTGATAGACCTCAGTGATGGAGGGGGCGTTGCCTCACTGTTCCTAAGGTTTCAGTTATTGCTTTGAACCTGTGGAAAGGCAGAATGACCTGGAGGGGAGTGGTGACATTGACTCACCTCATGGCCAGCAAA